TGACAACACACGTCATACCCATTGACAACACACGTCATACCCATTGAAAACACACCCCCATGCCCATTGCCAATATAACTAAGTGACACAATTAACTTTTGCAACTCATTTGGCACAATGTACAAGCCAATGAACAAACACATTCACACTTACAATTCAATGACAAACATAGAACAACGAACAGATGAAGCGTTTCCGCCTACAGCTCTACTCTATAGATCTCTATTTTTTCACTTAAACCATTGTTCTACTCATCAGGTTAAATTGTATGACATCACCCCAAAATGGCGACTGGATCAAAATTTCCAGATGTGGTGACCCCCAGGCCAAAGTTCCATCACTCCGTGGCGCCATTTTCACAGTCTTCCGCATCACCAAGAGTTACGGCGCTGGACAACAGAACTTCTCATCTCCTCTTTCACTCAAAGAATCTGACCAACTCCATGTGCCAAGACGGCGGCACCGACACCAGTAACAACAACAGCTTCACCAATAACATAGGCAGCGATGAGAATGACAATTTAAACGTGGCCAGGAATAAAATGCTGCTTAATCTGATTTTGAAAACAGCTACAACCAAGCTTCCGGAACCGGAGGAGAAAGACATCGTTGAATCGACGCCAACGCGCATGACCAAACTATTCAGTGTTTTCAGAACGCACCGTCACAAAACGTACGATACTTGCTATCCAGCAAACGAAAGACAAAGATACGCGACGAAGCCAAGTGTTGAGAACGCGCTCAAAGCGAGGCTGAAGCTGGCAAAGAAGTTGAAAGCAGAGAAGGAAACGACTGAAGACGAGGAGTTCAAGAGGGAATGTGACCTTGACCTGAAGAGAAGGCTGCGAGACGGATTCGGGGTCCACGCGGCAGAACCAAAGAAAGGACCTCGAAAAGATTCCGAGCCGGTTGCAAAAAAGTCACGAGCGACCGTTTTAACACGCGGGCAAGTCCCCGCCAAGAATGATACACCCAGTGGGGATCGGGTGGTGGGTGTCACCGTAATGTTGGATGGGGTGGAGCACAATGAAGAGCATGCCTGTGTCGACCCAGAGGGAGCCACGTCCCGCGAGGACCGTATCGCCAAAACCAAGGCGGGTCTGCGGTTGGATTTGACAAAGCTGAGCAGACCGAATGTGTGCAGTGACAGTAACAGACCGAATGTGTGCAGTGACAGTAACAGACCAATCACTCGGAACCACGTTCAAATCCAGGGTTCCGGCTACTGTTTTGATCATAGTGTAAGTCTCACCAAATCGCCAACCCGGAAGTGCAACTGCGCGCACATTCCAAACCGCGTTGTTCCAGATAAAGGCGGCTCAGCCTCGTCCAATGAAAGCAGACCCCGGGAAACCGTGCTGAAGCCGGGACCGGTCGATCTGGGCGATAGCATCCGTAGCGTGGTGTTCTACCAGAACCGGTTCGTAGTCACCAAGAAATCGAAACCGGTTACAGTTTCGAGCGCCCCACTTAATACGGGTCCAATTGAAGGCAGACGATTTGTCAGCCTGAGAGACTCCGGACAACGGATAAATCATTTGTTGACACCAGGGAAACCTTCCCAGAATCAAGGTGGAGGCCCGTTAGACCAGGAGATTAATAGCGGCTATTATGGGGTTGTTGGCACGATGGAAGGCGGCGAGAAAAAGATGCATTCTGGGGATGAGGTTTCATCAATGAAAGCTGTCGAGATTGGATTAGGGAAGGAGAATCCGATCAAAGCGTTGGGGAATCTTTCCGAGACGTTCGCGGAATTCTCCGGAGATGACGCAGGCTACTCAGCAAAACATTCACATACACATCGACTGCATGATTGTGAGTATAATGAGAACATTAGCAAAACTGGACATTTATTGAATGAGACAGTTGGTACACACATTCACTCCGATGACCCTTTTCCTATTCACGGCGACAGATCTTCAACCGAGGCTGGACATCGAATGTCACTGCATTCCTGCACGCACCCGAAGGTACTCGTAATGAAGTCTGGTATCGATACTTGTACTCAAGCGCCATGGGTAGGTGGTAGCATCGTTGATTCAGGGATCTCTCCTGGCTGTGTCCCGAGTCCACAAAGACACCGTGTTTATGAATCACACGAACCGACATCGCATTCTTTAATACACACGAGCCCCCAGCGACCACACGACTCGCCCCTGGAACTAATACAAGTTTCCGACCTGGTCCACCCGCCCGACGCTAATCTCATTAATGGGAAGCAAGATGATGGGCATATCGAGACCCTAACTGGACCCACCCCTGGGGCCTCGGCTTATTCAGTGGATCAATTCGGCACCTCGACCGTTGAGAGCGTCAATAACTCGAGCGAAATACCGACCTGGAATGGAACTGATTGGCCAAGATATCAGGAGTTTGAAAAGAGGGGACCACCGGTTGATGGCTCTAATCAGCGCGGTTCCTTTTCAGGGAGAAACACTTACTTTATTGCCTCAAATCGGAGATATTTGGGTCAACTCGAATCAGCGTTGCTGGATATAAATAAAGTATCGTTGCCAGAGAATGACGTTCAAGATGGCCTCGGGCAAGTCTCGCATGATGAGGGCGATCTTTCAGCAAGTGCACAGCACCGAAAAAGTACGGTCGTGAAGAAGCACGCGGGCCGATTCAGAAATGTAGCCAGTGACCTCTTGAATTATGACGACGGCCGGCCGAGGGTGGAAAACGTGAATGTCGAGACTGGCCAGAACGGCGACCTGCAGTGCTCGGCGACATTTCGGGACAAAGGAGAACATTGTCGCACTGGTGGGGCGCGGTTACGTGGGGAAGTCTTCGGTCAGCAGGGAGTCGCTAATGAGCGAAAAATAGTCGGTTATAATAATGACGTCAGAGACCGTGTAGAAACTGCGCATTTGATTGCGTTACAACATGAAGAATTCCTGGGAGGTACATTTTTATCTGACATGCCACTTGGCAATGGGAATAAAATCTTCAAAGAAACGGGCGAAAATAGAAGCATTAAAGAAAAGCCGTGCAGTACAACGGGAAACCCCGTTAGCATTAATCATAAACACCATTTGAAAAGTGCGTCTCCGGAAGTTCCATCAAATTTGAGTTTGCCCGATCCACCCCTATTGTGCACTTGTAACCGTGCCATGGGCGCTGATCGGGAAAACCCCACTTGTTCTGAGTTAATCTCGTCGTGCGAACCCCCCGCGTCGGCACGAACCGAACCCACCCCGGATATCGCCAGCACCGCAAAGCCTCGATTCGGCATGAAGCATAAACAACCACACGCCGGTCGTACATCTCGACAAACCACCGGTGACGGGGGACGCCGGGGCGACGCGCGGAACATCATCACTGCGGGATCGTCCGCTCGCGCCGGCGTCACCGGTCGCACGTGCGGCTCGCGCACTCGTCAAGAGGCCAACACCGAGCCGGGGCACGTGCCGGGCTACGACGAGACCTCACCAACGCCTGTATCGACCCGAGCAACACGAGCTCTCAGTCGTAGAAACGAGGGCTCCTCATCCGCCGCCCCGCAACAGAAGCGTGGTCCCCACCCCGACGTTGCACGTTTTGCGCCACTCTACTCCTCTGACGCCACCCCAACCCCCGAAGAAAATGTCAGCGTTCCCGCTGCCCCGTCTCCCCCCACTGTCACGACAACAAAACACTGTCACAACACGAACCCCCGACCGGGCTCTCCGTTGTCACCGACACCGACCAACCCATTCAAACAGGCCCAAGTCGCCGCTCATGGAAAGCACGTGAACGTAGACTTATCTGGGATTGAACAACCGACTGGTACAAGAACACACGGAGACGAGGGCGGTGGCAAAACACGAGTCAAAAGACATCTCCTGTTCCGGCCCATTGTTCACGAGTCGGGGAAATCTGTACCCGAGCGAGGGCCCCTGGGATCACCTCTCCTTGAGGATCCATCGAAAACCCGACAAAATCGCTTAACGGTGGGACACGACTGCACGTCCCTTGAACGTAATGTTCAAACTGATCCGCGCCGCACTCGTGAAATAAATATCGGAGAAGACGGCAAGGCGCAGAAACCTCGACCGCATAACCACACATTGCGTGAGCACGACGGCCCCCGCAACAGCTGCTCCACTACCAGGACCAACGCGACCGGCAAAAGCCGACGAAGGCATGAACAAGTAGAAAGAGGCGATACCTGCACACCGACTACAGTTGACGACAAGTGCGCGCGAGCACTTGTGGAGTGCCGAGCCCTCGTGGATACAGCAAACGATGTGCAATCAGCGCCAGGAGTGCCTCGTTCAATTCAGGGACTTAACGCAAGCAGTGTAGCTCGGCTCAGTCCAGGTTTGGTCGGGGCGTTCGTTCATTCCCAGGATGTAGCCACTGGGTGGGATGGCCAATCAGCCGACGCTGCGCATCTATCACAGGGGCTTCACAGTGCGTCCGTTGGAGTGCAGAGTTGTTTCGATGAGTGCGCAATTTCCGTAGGAGCGGAGCGCATAAACAGCCTTTATGTAGACATCCCTGTCTTCCGGTCTAGTAGTTTAGAATTTTCAGAACGATCGCCGGAAGTTACGATTAATGACGGCCACCAAGTCAAGTCGATCATTAAGAAAAGTCTAATAAATTTCAAAGAAAGGAAAAGTCAAGGTGGTTCATTGACCGGGGAGTCGTCTTTACTTTCGTGGGATTCTGTGCTGGATATAAATTTGGAAAATCCGGTCAATATTGATAGTAATCACGAGATAAAAGGTACACATGATTCCCACCCGGAATATTCTCAGAAAACAATCCAGTTTCCACGAGTGGTCAATCACGTGACGTTCTCCATATCTACCAAAGACAACGCCCCGGTCAAGGTCAAGAGAAATCCCAAACCGGATGAGGTTTTTCAACCCAGGGTGAAAGGCCAAGGTCACTTTGCTACAAAGTCAGCAACGCGACCCCAACCCCCGCTGCTGGCCAACAACCGCTTCGGATCGCCGAAGCCTGACCACACCCCCGAGACCACGCCCCTTCTCGTCGAGGCCGACGCCGACACAATGGATGGGCGGGGCATCGAGATCATCGTCTCGGACGAGAACGACGCCCGCGTGTCCACCGTGCACTCCGGGAAGAGGGCGGTGCTTCGCCGCATATGGATGGTCCTATTGGACAATCGGGTGGCCGGGCGGCCCGACACTGAGAGGGCGCTCCGCCCCCACCATGAGGAGTATCGGGTGCTGAAGCGGGTGCTGAACATCATCTTCATCACGATAGGCGTGGCCCTGCTGGTGTCGGTCTTCGTGGTGATTATTTACACGTATGTTGGTAAGTACCTCAATGGGTATGTTTGCATGTGCATTAAAAAAAAAATGAAATGAAAAAAAAATTAATAAATTCCGCCACATTTCCTTTTAAGTCCGTTCTGTAAGCTTTTGAAATATATAAAACATCCTTGTAAATATTCAATAGTTTAGTAATTGACTTTGGAAAATTGTCTAGCCAAAATTATATGTTACGACATATGAGACAACCGGTTGAGTTGAATATAGTCTTTATGCGCTACCTTTAAGAGTAAGGGAGTGACGTCACCAGAATACAAGATACACTTAAACTGATGACGACATTGGCGTTAATATCTAGTTAGGAAGTATGGCATTTTTGTTTTTGTGTTTGATACTCTCTAATTCAAGGAACTTTTCCTCCCTGTCTAATATTTTTTACATGCTATCGCTACTGTGTTAAACCTTTGCTGGCAGATTAATTTGCCGGTGGTGTTCTGTTCTCGATAAGTTCTCATTGACGGGGAAACCAAAGAACAGATCAAACTTATTATTTCTCACGACAGTTCAGGGGAGGTGGGGTGTGGTATTGCCAAAATGGTGGATTTTGAGAACAGGAAAAGGGGGGGGGGCTCGGGCGTCTCTCCTATGAAGTCATTACTGATATTACTGGCTCCTGAGGGGCGTCGGGTGGCTGAGCGGTCTAATCTGAGTCAATCCCCAAGCCACTGGACTGAAGTTCAATCCCCAAGCATCGCCTAGACAAGAAAAACGTCACACCAGCACCCCGGGTGGTCGGGACCCGTTAGTTTTGGATGGCTATTCTATTCATCTCAGAGAAGGCAAACCCTGAAATCAAACCCGGAGAGGGGGGGGCCCTGTAGGCGGTATGACACTGACAACGACAAATTCCAACTTAATTGAGAAAACAGTGAAACACACAAGAACCCCCCCAAAAATACAGCTCAAGTCATGTCTACGCATCTTGCCTTGGTCATCGTGCCTTGGTCATTCTTCCACGACGCGTGTCATTAGAAATGATGACAGAACAATGCTGACAGACCTGTGTAAGTTTGACCCAGTTCGTTCAGCAGATCTTGACCACTGGCCACCTCAGCAGATCCTGACCATTGCCAATTTCAGCTGATTTTGCAGAGCTCCCCCTCATCATATGACCCTCCCCCCCTCCCCACATACCACCGTATCATTGAGTTGGGTGCCTATTTTGCTTCTCAAAGCGCTTCTAAAGCACATATTTTTCTTTAACAATTGCCAACCTCAGCAGATCTTGGCCATAGACAACCTTAGCAGATCTTGGCCATAGACAACCTCAGCAGATCTTGGCCATAGACAACCTTAGCAGATCTTGGCCATAGACAACCTCAGCAGATCTTGGCCATAGACAACCTCAGCAGATCTTGGCCATAGACAACCGCAGCAGATCTTGGCCATAGACAACCTCAGCATATCTTGGCCATAGACAACCTCAGCAGATCTTGGCCATAGACAACCTTAGCAGATCTTGGCCATAGACAACCTTAGCAGATCTTGGCCATAGACAACCTCAGCAGATCTTGGCCATAGACAACCTTAGCAGATCTTGGCCATAGACAACCTTAGCAGATCTTGGCCATAGACAACTTCAGCAGATCTTGGCCATAGACAACCTCAGCATATCTTGGCCATAGACAACCTCAGCAGATCTTGGCCATAGACAACCTTAGCAGATCTTGGCCATAGACAACCTTAGCAGATCTTGGCCATAGACAACTTCAGCAGATCTTGGCCATAGACAACCTCAGCAGATCTTGGCCATAGACAACCTCAGCATATCTTGGATCATCGGCCACCTCAGCAGATCTTAACCATCGGCCACCTCAACAGAGCTTGACCACTGGACACTTCAACAGATCTTGACCATTGGCCACCTCAGCAGATCCTGATGTTGCCGACCTCAGCAGGTCTTGACCACTGTTAACCTCAGCAGATATTGACTATTGCAACCTCAGCAGATCTTGACGACTGGTCACCTCAGCAGATCTTTACCCCTGGTCATCTCAGCAGATTTTGACCGCTGGCCACCTCAGTAGATCTTGACCATTTGCCACCTCAGCAGATCCTGACTACTGGCCACCTCAGCAGATCTTGACCATTGCCAACCTCAGCAGATCAACTGTGGTCAATTTTCGCTGAAATTTATGTGTGTTTTGCAGAGTCCTCTCCCCCTCATCATATGACCCCCCCCCCCTCCCCACATACCACCGAATCAATGAGTTGGGCGCCTGTTTTGCATCTCAGAATGTCTTAAAAATCCATGACACCAGGTGATTGTCTTCTTTACTCTCTTATTTTTCTTTGAAGTATTATATCCTATCTTTGATTCTTTACAAGAAATAGAGCTGTTGCTTCATAAACAAGGACGTTGCCTCATAAACAGTGCTGTTGCCTCCTAAACATAGCTATTGTTCCATAAACACGATTGTTGCTTCACAAACAGAGCAGTTGCTTCACAAATAGAGCTGTTGCTTCATAAACAGAGCTTTTGCTTTATAATTGTTTAGATATACAAAATGCACACCTTTATTACATAAAAAAAAAAACAACCTAAAACACCTGTACTTTAACAATATATTTTCTGAACTGGACTAGTTTTGCTCACGATATATTTTAGTTGAACCTTCGTGGTAGAGAAATGTCCTATGCCAGAGTCGTCAATAACCCACCCACCCTCCCACACACCCTCACACGGTCCTCAGACGCAGTTTAAACAGCGTTTCAATCCTCTGCCATGACGAAGCTTCGACTATCTTTTAAAACAATAGATCTAAAAAATGGCGTGTTCAGGCTCAGGAAGAGGATGCAAATCCCAGAGATGACATCTGAGCATTCTGCTAAATGAAAGCTTTAAACTCTAGTTTGGATTTAGCGGGTTTTTGTTTGTTTTTTGTTTGTTTGTTTGTTTGAGTGAGATTGAAATAGTTCACCAGATTCGGACAATAAAATTGGTCTGCTATTATCGTGATTCCATGTCAAAGGACACAATCTTTTGTGTTAACTTTTGCTAAGGTCCTTTTATGAATGATATATATATATATATATATATATATATATATATATATATATATATATATATATATACACACACATATATATATATATATATAAAATAGAGAGAGCACACATGTGTACTCTACTCACCACACCCTCTCTTATACCCTCTCCTTCGCTAAAAAAAAAAAAATCCATTTATATGTAATATATATATATATATATATATATATATATATATATATATATATATATATATATATATATACACACATATATATATATATATATATATATATAATATAAGCTATTCAGCTAATTTATGTGGTAATATCATCGCTTTGTGGCGTACCAAATCTGAAATTAGACGCGGACATAGAAGTTATGGACATATCATTACATTTGGAGTTACGAATCTGAGATTAGTAGCGGAGATTTCCATCAGCAGCACATATTAGGGTCTAAATGTGTTATCTCTTTAAACTTTATCACAATAACTTGGAATCGCCCATTTACATTATAATTTCTTGGGCTAGAAAGTCGTTTTTTATAACAATATAGAGAAAGTTAGTGTTTGGGAAATATATAATTAAGGGCACTTTATATCAATTAGTGGTTGGGAAGCATATAATTAAGGGCACCTTATATTAATTAGTTGTTGGTAAGCATATAGTTAAGGGCACCTTATATCAATTATTTGATGTTGGGAAACATGTAATTAAGGAAACTTTATATCAGTTAATGGGAGAGTCAGCTGCGAAGCCTTATTCGCAGCGTTTTCGGTCGACCGGGCTCCCAGGGGGAGATTCCCGGCGTGCCGCCGCACGGTCTTGCGGTGAGGAAACCCATGTGGAGGTGTGCCGGAGGGGAGGGGGGTATCAAGAGCTCGCGCTCGACGGCCCCCGACCCGATTACCCAATGTATCATAGGGCCGGCACTATGGGATGGCAAAAGTGGACGACTGCCCCGCGCGTTGAAAGGAGTATTTTTTTTTGGTCTTATATTTTGCTTGTGTGTTCAAATTACAATGGCTGATTCAGCTTCGTGTTTTCGTTATTTGTTTTTGACAACCTTGATATTGGTAACAATGGAGCCGCGATGTGTCATTTGGGCCAGGGCAAATAACTGTTATAGGAAAAAATAGAAATTTCGGCAACTAAGCGAGTGAACAAATATCCGTTATTACGCGTCCCATTATGACCAGCAAGGCCCCCAGTACGACTATAACGTGTTTTAATATCTTATCGGCGGAATACATAACGTCAACGGCCCCGCAAAATTCAATTTGCACAAGGGCCCACCAGTGGCGTAGCGAGGGGACAAGATTCGCGCCCGGGGACAAGATCCATTTTAAAAGCGCCCCTTTTTCTTTTTTTCAACTCTCAAACCCATTATTTTCATAAATAAAATAATATCAAAGCACATTTTGGCGCCCTGGGACATCTGTCCCCCCTGCCCCCACCACGCTACGCCTCTGGGGCCCACACCCTCCTAGCGCCGGCCCTGCGCATCAGTTAGTTGTTAGGAAACATATCATTAAGGGCACCTTATGTCAATTAGTGGTTGGGAAACAAGTCACTAAAGGCACCTTATATCATTTAGTTGGATCACATATAATTAAAGGCACATTATAGCGCTCTCTAGCGACACAAAGCATACTTAGAAAAGGAAACTTCATGTCGATGAGTTCTATCCTATCTATTTGCTACGAGATGGACAGTTGTCAGTGTGTTGTCGAGAGACCTTCTACGAGACTGACAGTTGTCAATGAACCGTGGGAATCGTGTGAAAACTTTGACAACGCCTAGTAAAAGCATGACGATCCTAATAGTGACAATGCACAAGCACATAGATTTCATGTTTCTTTGCTCATAACATATTTGTACATGTACACGTACTTGTTGATGTAACTGTACTGCGTGAAGAAGAATGTGTACTCGTCACTGTGTGTTTGATCCCCCCGGGTTCGCGCACTTCACAGGTCTCACTTTACAAATTGACCG